GAAAATCCCTCAATGTATATACTTGCCCTTTGTTCCTATTGATCCCCTTAGTTGTACATTGTTGTCTTTTGATTACATTTGAATTGTTCGTGTTTCTTCCCGAACTGCATCAGTGTTGTTTTACTTGACACTTGTTCTTGGCGGTAGCCATATTGATTTGCTCCTACTTTTGTGTGTGTCCTATCCAGTCAGGATAGAATAACGTTCATTTGTTGTGACTGGTAATTTTCCCTCATCTTTTATCAACTTCTTTATCTATTGTAATTTAGATTTGATTGATTGAACAATTATTGGTTGAATAGCCGGGTGGTAATATTTGTTTAGGTAACGATTTACATATAAATTTATGATGAATTATAGAACCGCTACTTACTCGATTACTTGTTTTGATTTCGACGGGAAAAGGCGCGTGTCTAACGTACCTGGACGGCTATTCATCTATCCAAACCATAGTTTAGATTTTACATTATACAAGGCACTACCGCGCTAATTTAACAGGTACGTAACGCCTAGCATGTTTACTAGTGATGTTTCTGAACCTTACGAAACGCTGGAACGTTCTTTTCTTAAACGCGGAGACCTAACCGATAGACAAAGTTTAGACCAACTCCTCAATGACATCGACCTGCTACACGGTTCTGCGACGGACACGTTGCAAAGAGTGAGAGAGGTTATCGGCCAAAGAACCTTCGATGATGGCCTATTTAAACATCTTTTCTTGTCCAAACTTCCTCAATAGGTGTAAGCTGTACTGGTCTCGTTTTAAAACGACGCCTTAGACGAGCTGGCGGCATCTGCCAACCGCATTTTAGAAATCACAAAATCTTCTAATACCGAGGTTATTTCAGCCAAAGAAAAGCCTCAAACGACTAAGAATGACATGACAGAGTTATGTCATAAACTTACGCGTTATCTTAATTTTCGTAACGACCGTAAGCGATCACACACCCCGCTAAGAAGCACTTCACGTAAGCGATCTGTCTCTAGACCACTAGAGATTGATAACCTCGACTGGTGCTCGTATCATAACCAGTATGGAAAGTCTTCCAGAAATTGCAGAAAGCCCTGCAATTTTTCCAACTCAAAACCGACCGACTCGAAAAACAACTCGGGAAAATTCCAAGCCAGCACGCGTTAACGGCAACCGTAGCCGGTGAACATAGACGTCCGTTATACGTCACAGATGTGATAACGAGAGTTCGCTACCTCGTCGACAGTGGCGCAGAAGTTAGCGTTCTCCCAGCGAATCCCAACGACCGGTTTCACGAATCGGCTCTAAACTTACAGGTGGCAAACGGAAAACCTATCGCCACGTATGGCAAAAGGTACGTCTACCTTAACGTGCGTTTACGCAAAAACCCATTCACTGAATCTTCGTTGCTGTAGATGTGTAGAACTATGGTCTACTATGATATTAGTACTGCTCTAATAATTGACCTAATCCTAAATTTGTAGATTCGTCATGATATAACTGCCTAATCTATAAGATCTTACGTGGAAGTCACACCATCGACTACGCCAACTCACTGTATCGTATCAATTACCAATACATGATGAAGAACGAGGTTAGGTTAGAGAAAGAACAATATATTTAATATGAATAGAGACCACGCCTGCATGGCCGAGTCATGCCACTCGATCAACTCCAGTCCATTCAATTCATTGTTCGCGCCTTCTCCATTTTTAGGTATTTCTCGGCGTTAAATATTGAATATTTATTTTCTGAGTAGTCTCGTGTTCACAGCTTTGTGGATTGTGTGGCTATTGTCCAATGCCACTACACTACTCTCCCACCAGAATCAACGTGATGTTGGTTCGATACCAAATTGGATGGGATCGTCGCGCGCCGGAGGTTGCCAAGGATAATAAGAATCCTCCGGGTATTGGTAAGCTGAAAGATAAATCAAAAAGAAAGCGGCAGCATCTGGTCGGGAAATACATGTAATAATTTTAAAATATCTGCCTTCATGTTTAAAACGCTTGAAATGAAAATCTGGGTGAAGATTATTTGAGCTATAAAAAAAATGGGGTTACAATAATAATAATAATAATAATAATAAAACGATGCGTGTTAATAACTTAACTTATAGGCAGTAATTATTTTGTGTTTAGAAATATTAAAATAATGAATATTGTAGAAATGTTAATATTGGTATTAGTTTTGGTTTAAATTATGAAATCAAATAACGATTATGCCGGTAAGTTGTCCATATGAGTTGAATTCCAATTGCATCTGTATTAGTAGGCTAACTGAAGGAACAAAAGTATACCGTGGAGAAGAATTCCAACTAGTGTTCCAGTTAGTTTGATACGGCTTATTTAGTTACGGGGAGATTTCCTCAACCTTATTTTTACTTGACCGTGATAGAATTTAGTAATACTACTAATACACATGAATGGTTATTAAAAGAAAATTTCAATATATGAGTGATAATTATATGAGTTTTGGACAGATAGCTAAGAACAAATCGTTAAACATGAGTGTATTCGTAAGAGACATGCTCTAGACTCAATGTTCTGAGTTGCCATAGACTATTTATACATATTTATACCTGACGGCTGATGATGCATACAAGTTAGTTGCAAGTATGCAGTTTATCATAAGGCGGAATACGATTTAATTGAGATATAGTGGTTATAAGTTATTGAAATCAGTTAAGCCTATGTGTCATATTACGAAGTGATGTGGTGCTGCAAGATGTATTTAGCTAAATATGTTTTTACAAGATGATTAATAGTGAGTGATGCTCATGTGATTATCAGGGAGAACATAAGTTGTAACCAAGGGGAGGTACACTCCCAACTCATGTCTATGACAATGGCTTGAACCTTAGTCAGTGTTGGGGTAAATTCGACATTGATGTTTTCAGTTTGCAGGAGATTTGCTCGACTGCTTATACTGATTATTTGCATGCATGATTGTGTCGCTAAACCATCAATTAGACTGACAAGGTTTTGAGATATTTATTGAATGAGCAACTGATAGAGAAACATACTGTAATCATCTGTGATGGATGAAGATACCAAGAAAACAACACCATTTAATGGTAGTTATAAGTCAATTTGTTGACCGATTTCGTTAATAGTTTCATTAATTTTATCAATCATATTACGTGATTGTCAAGTTATGACAATGCTTTATGACGATATCCTGAAACTATTATGTTTAACTAGTTATAGTGTTGATTGAGGATTAGTCAGTGGAAAAATAGGTATTGTTGCTTTATGTGATTCGAAATTATCAGAAATTTACAACGTTAAGGAATCCGAGACGCCTAATTTAATTATACTTTTCAATTCAGAAATATTCGTTTACAGTTAATTCTAGTAGGCTACGGAGTTTTGATTTCAAACGTTTGTTTAGCCAACAGCTACCTGAGGATTCAGTTATTTTACTAGTGCAGTTGATAGTACCTAAATTTTTAATCTTATTATCTAAACTATGTTCGCATTTTAGGCTGCTAATATGATAAACCAATCCATAAACCCAAATACGATTAGCAACAACGACTATGATGGGTTTATTGATAAATGCTAAAGGCGACTCAGATGATTCCTAAATTTAGGAGACATGAAGATATAGTGTAACATATGTGTGGGCCAGGTTAACAAACAGGTTGTTGACGTATATGACAATTTGAAAATAATGAACATGACCAGATAAATAATTTTAAAGTTAAGACTGCTTGTGAAACTTCAGGCAGGAATATGATGCGTTATAAACCTTCCATAAGAAGTTACTGCATTTAGCTTAGTGACACTTACAAATATATGGCAAAAGCAACTGAAAAACATATACATCTTAAGTACAAAAAAAAATCATCCAGTAAAATAGTTTAACTCGCCTGGATTATTTTTGAAAATTAGATTATTCAGTGGACGACATATATACTGCCATTCGTGAGTAGTATTGATCCAAAAGCATCCAGAATAAAACATGCAGTATGGCAATTAATTCCAGGGTGCTTGATGCTGTTGAGGTTTTTGACACTCGCTCGGATCAGAACAATCGAATGAATCCAGATAATTGTATGGTTGTCATTGAACGAACCATCTAAAAATGATTGCAGAAAACTTATAGCTGAAACTCACCGTATGTTTTTGGAGTAGTCATCCTCGTTGTTTGGCAATGGAACTCGAGAATATGAAATTAGGCAGGCAGTGGTCGGAAGAAAAGATATTACAGGATAGTGCATCGTTTAAAACAGGATGAGGTGTTAAGTGAAGGAACACTGAGAATTAGATCCAGATAACTATTTAGTCCTTGATCGCATTGTTAGTCAATGTATATTTACGCTATTTACAGGTCATATTTGCTAGAGCTTGATGTTTAAACAAGACTATGTCGCTGAAGCATGTAAATGCTATTACAGCTTGTTAACAAACCATCAAAGCTAATTAGTTGATATAGACGACCAGTTTTTATTATCGGTTGAGCTAGTTTGTCATGAGGACTAATCAATATAACATTACGATAATGCATGTGAGCATTAATCAGAGGACTATTAGAATACAGGGCTAACATAAATATAAAATCGATCGAGAAAGTTGAAGTGGAAATTAGGATTAATAATATTAGGTTGCGTTTCTTTAGTTGGGCTCACCAATGTAGAACTATGGTCTACTATGATATTAGTACTGCTCTAATAATAGACCTAATCCTAAATTTGTAGATTCGTCATGATATAACTGCCTAATCTATAAGATCTTACGTGGAAGTCACACCATCGACTACGCCAACTCACTGTATCGTATCAATTACCAATACATGATGAAGAACGAGGTTAGGTTAGAGAAAGAACAATATATTTAATATGAATAGAGACCACGCCTGCATGGCCGAGCCATGCCACTCGATCAACTCCAGTCCATTCAATTCATTGTTCGCGCCTTCTCCATTTTTAGGTATTTCTCGGCGTTAAATATTGAATATTTATTTTCTGAGTAGTCTCGTGTTCACAGCTTTGTGGATTGTGTGGCTATTGTCCAATGCCACTACAGATGTTTCCATGTCAATCGTTGGTATATGCCTTCTACAACACCATAATCTACTCATCGACACGCGCAAACGAAGGCTGGTAGACAGAAACAGTAATTTATCTGTTAGCGTAACTTCTTTTTCTGGTCGCAGATTATCTCCAGTCACAATTAAGCATACTATAGACCCATTTTATCAACCACTACTCAATAAGTATCCTGGGATACAACAAACGCAACCGAAATTACCGTGTGTAACCAGCAACGTTACACATCACATCACAACTACAAGACCACCTGTATCCCCTAAAGCTCCACGACTAGCCCCCGAAAAGCTAAGAATGGCGGAAAACGAGTTCGACCACATGATAGACCTAAGAATCATAAGACCGTCAAATAGCCCATCGGCGCCTACGTTGCACATGGTCCCTAAAAAGGATAGCAACGATTGGCGTCCAACTGGCGACTATCGGCGATTGAACGCGAAAACCATTCCCGATCGTTACCCGTTGCCTCACATTCACGATTTGACAGCTACCTTGAAACGTACAACTGTCTTTTCGAAAATCGACTTGGTTAAAGCGTATAACCAAACCCCTATGGCCACTGACGATATACCGAAAACAGCTATTATAACTCCTTTCGGACTCTATGAATTTTTGCGAATGCCTTTCGGTCTAAGAAACGCTGCACAACCATTCCAAAGTTTTATAGACAATGTTTTTCGAGGTCTCAACTTCGTACATGCGTATGTGAAATAGCAAGTCCGGACAGAGAATTGCATCTCAAGCATATGGATCTTGTTTTCGACCGACTACAAAAACATGGCATTACTGTAAACATTCAGAAATGCCAAATTGGAACCGACTCATTAGACTTTCTAAGACACACTATCGATGCTCAAGGTATCCGACCCCTTAGAACCAAAGTGGCGGCCATTCTGCATTACCCAGAACCGACCACCATCAAGCAATTATGCACGTTTAACGGCCTTGTAAGTTTCTATAGACGATTCATACCGAAATGCACGTTACGTGTGAAACCTCTGACCGACCAACTTCGTGGAAATGCGAGATCCACCAATCTGGACGACAGAGCGCGAAAAGCATCCTCCACAGTTGAGGAACTTACCACAATGCTTGCTCATCAGGACACCGAAGCACTCATTAGTATCGCAGTAGAACCATCCGACTCAGCAATCGAAGGAGTTTTACAACAATGGGTTAACAACTCCTGTCAACCCTTGGCATTTTTCTCTAGACGGTTGCTAGACACCGAATCGAGGTACAGCACATTCGGTAGGGAACTCCTGGCTATCTATTGTGTTGTACGGCATTCCCAACACAATATCGAAGGCCGTGAATTTACCCTTTTCACTGACCATAAACCGCTTTCCCTCTCTTTAAGCTCTTCCTCTGAGATTTCGCAGTTTACTTCAGACATCCAACACACTTCAACCTGCGTTGACCGTTTCACTCGATGGCCAGAAGCAGTACCTATCAAGGACATCACTGATGAAACAGTGACCCGCGCCTACGTCGAACGATGGGCAGCAAACTTCGGCTGCCCTTCAACTATCACTACAGACCGTGAACGTCAGTTCGAATCTGAACTTTTCCATCGTCTGACCACACATTTAGGAATCACTCGCTTACGAACGACCACCTACCACCCACAAGCAAACGGGATGGTAGAACGCTTTCACCGACAACTAAAAGCTTCACTATCAGCTGCAAACGTTTCACAGTGGACCGACGGTCTTCCACTCGTCTTACTGGGTATTCGCAATGCAGTGAAAGCTGACATGGGATACGCTGCGGCTCAACTCGTTTATTGAACAACACCTCGACTTGCAGGAGAATTCGTGGATCCTTCATCCTCGTCAATGAACATGGATCTAACCTCCTACACGAACAGGCTTACAAACGCAATACGTTCAGTTAAACCTGTTTCCACTGAACCGCAATCAACTGATGCTTTCGTTCAACCTGACTTACGATATAGTACACACGTCTTCGTGCTTCAAAACTCGAACCAACGACCTTTCGAATCAGCATACGAAGGAACTTTCAAAGTTCTTCAACGCAAACCCAAGTACTATATAATCGATAAGAACGGAACCAACGACAGCATCAGCATCGATCGCCTCAAAGCAGAGTATTTGGGAGAAAGTCATATCTACGTCGATTTCCCTTCAGTACAATCGAACGACACGACTCCGACACTCATAATATCTCATCCGACGACCAACACGCACAATGATACTTCGACAGTATCTGAAAACAAACTTAAGACAACGCGTTCTGGAAGGAGAGTAAGATTTCTAGAACATTTAAATGACTATTGCACATGAGACACTAGTTAACATTTTGCTTCATCTCGATTTTCCATGGCATTATATATAATATAAAAATATTTTTTAATATGCTTATGTTTATATATATTTATCATTTGGCTAATATGTATATTAAAAAGAGTTAAAAAAGAACATTTTGTAAAATACGCTTTTACGTTACTAACCTTTTCTCGCCCATTTTGTGTCTTAAAGCGCGTACGAGTTTATTTTGATATGCACTTACATATTTTTTTTCCAGGACGACTGGAAAAGATGATAAAAAGAACGATGAGGTTTACGAGGGACCAAAATTTTCATTGTACATTATTTTCTCCCTATATTGTATTTCATGGTCCATTATAGTAAGGAAAGACGACCAGACGCTGCTAAAACTAGCAAGCTATCAGAAGAGTGTTTACCAACGAAAAAACTCGTTGGGTTTAAACTTCTGACTGGCCACGTTTTAGGGTCATCACTACCCTACCAGGGGAGGAGTGATGTGTAGCGGTGAATAAATCCCCAAAATTAATAGCTCTGTAAGTTTTCGACATTGGATGCTGACCACATTAGTTTTAATGGACTCACCTAGCTGAAGGCACTCGGTCGTGTATCCGCACCAGATCACGAGTGGGAACGCCGTGCTCAACATCTACTGCAATAGCTAGCCAGATTAGATCAGACGATCCTCGATATATTGATAGCCTATCAAATATATCTTCGAACCTCCTCACTTCTGTCTTTGATTTCTCTTGGTGGGTACGAGTTATATTGGAAGGTGTTACTGGTTATAGCGTTATCAAACATTGAATACCTGTGGCATCTCCAAGCCATTTTAGATGAGGTCCGGCAATACCAAGATTTTATAACTTAACTATCAGTCTGTTAGTTGGTACCTAGTCAAAAGCCTTACTGAAGTCTATGTAGACAACATCCACTGAGTTTCCGTTATCTAGCGCCTTTATCCAATATTTTCATGTTATAAGTAGTTTCGTTGTGCAAGATAAACCGTTTTTAAAACCATGCTGTTAGATGTTTGACAGGTTATTGGTTTACATTAACGTCATCATGGTCCGTTTGACTATTTTTTCCAATATTTTAACTACAACACTGGTGAGTCTTACAAGTCTGTAGTTCGATGGAACTTGTCTTAATCCTGTTTCGTGTATGGCAGTGACGATTGCGTCCTTCCAGTCCATAGGTAACACACCTTGGTCAAGTGACATATCGAATGTCATAATCAGTGTGGCTGCGATATATTGTGCAATATGTCTCAAGATTTTCGGGGTTTAGTTCATCTGGTCCTGTCGACTTTTCCGTATCTAAGGTGCTAAGATGCTTAAGTATATCGTTTTGATCGAAGTGCACGTTGAGCAGGTGGCTTGTTCACTCTGTATTTTGGCCTGGTTCTTTGTCTATAGGAGGTTCCTGAGTAAAAACTGCCCCAAAATAGTCAGCCATAGCCTCTGGTTTTTCCTGATCTTCCTCTATCATTCCAGGTTTACTCTCTTCTCTTATTACGTTGGAAATACAATGATGCATACTTGTTCTGTAGTTTATGTACGAGAATATTCTCTTAGGCTGCTTGATTGCAGGTTGTGCCAACTGCATTTCATATCTTCTTTGAGCTTCCCGAATTTTAATTGTACACGTTTTTTTTTTACCTATCTCTGGCATTCCACCGTACCTGCTGTGCCAAGGCTGATAGCAACGTTGCAACATGTCTTCTCGTCTTAGTAGACGTCGAATATCCCAGCCTGTCCAGGGATGGCCGTGCTGTTTCTTCTTTGGAACTGTCTAGGGTATGTATGGTTGAGTTACCCGATTGTATAACTGCCTGAAAGGAGTTCATGCCTGTTGTACTGATGCCCTTGCAGTGTGGTGTTGAGTCGCGGTTGACTATGATCACCACTACAGGAAGACTACGTACCAGTTAACTGATAAGATCCCCCGTAGGCTAAGTATCAGAAGGCAGTTGATGGCAGTAGTCGAGATGTATTTGTTGGCGATCTCGTGGTATCGGAAGAATACAGAGATCGTGCCACGTTACAAGTGTGGTTACTGAGCGTAACCGAATTCGTGTAAGGTCACAATCAACAGAAGAATGTATGTATTTAGTACAGTTAAACAAACAAATACAGTAAATCAATCACTGGTACAATTGGTTATAATGATAATTATTTCAATTATCCCAATCGCATTCTCTTGATAAAAGTAGATCACTACAACCTTGTGTCAAATTCCCAGTTTTCAGCCAATGCTGCGCAGTTGATTGCCTCCATATCTGCCTTCTATATATTATAACGGGCCAGTGCAACTGTTTGACAGGCAATTTTAGACATTAATTTGAATAACATGACTGCATGGTAACTTCTCCCTAGTTGTGGGAGGAAAATCATTTGACCAACGTCATCACTGTGTGTGTAAACCGAATCTAAAAGAGAAGGAGAGTTTCTTAAGTTATACCTTGTGACATTTCTAATGTGTTGGAGTAAAGCGAATCCAATCGAGGTTTCTAACAGTTTGCGACCGGATGGCATTATTAATGACCCTACTTCTAAGTTGATACACTTTATATGCGGTGCATTAAAGTCAGTTACTGCAAGGCTTTTACTTTTGTTACACCAGGACTTAAGCTTACTTAGGAGGAAATCATCTACTACATATTCTGGACTGCGATATACTATAACTAGATCAATATCTTGTCGTCCATATTTTAGCTTGCATCACTCCTGTTCATATGTTCCTGTAACATGTGCCACTGTCTCAACTGCTCTTATGGTTAGGGTACTTTTCGTGTACAGGATAACTCCGCCTCCTCTAAGGTTTAATCTGTCAGCCCTACTGTATAAAAAACCAGTCGAATGAGTTCTATTATCTAATACTTTTGACGTTAACCAAGTTTCTGAGACAGTAATAACATCCGGTTTTACCTTGTCCACCACTGACTTGAGTTCCGTTATTTTGTTTAGTAGGCTGCTAGCATATGTGTAGCATACCTGTAAGTCTGTGGAGAACCTTTTCTTGCCACCCAGAGTGGTTTGTGGATCGTTTTGCTCCGAACTTTTATAATTTGAAAACCCTTAAGAAAGCAGGTACTTTTACCGTTTCAGCGGCGCTCGTTTATTTCCACTTCTGCAGCTCGTCTCTTAATACGATCAGCTAGGATGAGATCCTCACGAACGTACATTCCGAATCCAATCAGTTTACGTGAGTTGCCTAGAATCAGGTTTCTTTCTTCAACCGTGGCAAATGCAGCCCTCAAGAGGCGGCTTTTCTGAGCACTTTTTGAGAATCCACCCTTTGCCCTATTCTCATAAGCTTACAGATGCTGACTCCTGAAACTGCTTCTGAAAATAGCTTGCTGATTAAGGACTTAATACGACTGAGGTCGTGCTGAAATCTAGCATTTGGTTCCTTATCAGAAGATTCTCTTAACTTATGGTCAAAGATGTTTTTGATGTCATTAAACCGAAATATTTTGGACTATTATCTACTAAATAAAAGAACACACCAACTAACGACAGAATTGAATAGATAATTAGGACAATTATGGCGGGAATATAATTTATGAACGTATAAGATAACAGGTCTCGGATTTCGGCGCAAAATTCCTTTATCCATTTGGAGTTTCGGCATTATAGCTGATGTCATTCCGGGACGAAGACCATAAATCGAATTTCTAACCTTAATTGTCAACTGTAAATTATAATTATAACTGCTCACACAGGTTTATAACTCTCATTTGGTCCTGGGTAATAAGTGAACACTTTTAAGTTCAGTCTAGCGTCGCTCGACAATGATTATTTTTCGGCAGTTTTAAAATTGATGGAGAAAGACAAGTGAGATAGATTACAGTGTTCAAGTGGTTCAAATGGTTTTGAACGGAGTAAAACAAGCATTCGCTTAACAGGCTTCTGTATCTAGTAGCAGTAGACCGCCGATGCCTGTATGTAGAAACCTAGGTATATTTAATGATAAAAAGGTAAATATTGGTAGATTAAGGTGAAATAATGTCCTGAGTCCCTAAGAATATGTCAAGTTTCCTCTTGAAGGACTCCCAGGAAATCGCTCGGACTACCTCAACCGGCAGAAAATTCCGGAATTCGACTGCTCATAATTAACAAAAGGTGTGGTTATAGCCCGTTCTGCTATGATGTGTCTCTAGTTTTCAAGTGTTGTCCCTATGATTTATGTTGCGGTTGAGCTTTAGTAGGTGTTTAGGATGCTATGTGAAGATCACCTATAAGGTGTCTATACTCTAAGAGGCAAATATTCAGTTGAGACGCTTTTCATAATGTTTGCATTTGAGTCTCGGCTGACGAGGAACCACGAAATATGATGAATTAATATTATTCTTCATCAATATTTGTTCTGGCTTTACTTAAATCCATAAAGGGAACTAATTGCATGAAATAATATTGTTACGCCATTGGTACGTAATCGACATTTAACATGGCATTATGGATTCATAGGTTGGATGATTGCTATTACATAGGAAATTCGTTTGTCTACGATAGGCAAGTTGTCTGTTTGGACAGTGAGTTTCTAATGCGGAAGAGTAACTTTTTTCTTTTTGCAGAACGCTGTGAATGAAAACTCTACATCAAGCTGATTATCATGACCGAAACGCATTAGCAATCGTTATAATCGTAAGGATTTATTTATTAATGGATGGTTTATACTTTCCTTAAACTTTAATAAACATTTTCATTTATAACGCATCAGTCTTTTAATTACAGCAATTCTGATCTTTTGCGAAAGACCAGTTCTTGTAACGAACTATGGTTCACTTTGCGAAGTCAACTGAAAAAATGGAATAGATGAGTCGAAACTTCTGGGTACTTAGTATTAAATCGCCGAGCTTTTCTGTGCAATGGGTAAGTTTGGGGTTTTCCGAATGTGGTATTTATGATAATCGGAAATCATGCAGAATATCCCCAAAATGCGATGAAGTATTGGGGTGTGATCACAAAGCGTTGATGGGTTTTCGAGAAAGGTGTTGAAAATCCTGGGGTTTTATCAATGAATATATACATATTTTCCTAAAGTATTCT